GATTTCAACTTTTGTGAATGGAAGCAAAGCTCACATGACCTGCGCAAATGAGAACCGACAGCCGCCATGAGCTGAGATACATTTACGTTTGTCTAGAGATGACGAAGGCTGGTGAGAATGCCCGGGACCACTGAAAGCCGAAAAACGCCCGATGCTTACGAGTAGACCTTTTTACCAGCTAACCAGGGGCGTCTCGAGATATATCACGGACTCCATGCCACTGACTGAGCAACGTTCTGAAAGAAACTCAGAAGCGCAGTTGATCGTTCGTGGTAGGAGACACACGCTTCGAGGTGTTCCTCACGTCACGCTGAAGGCACATTTTGCCGTGGCTGTAGAAGGCGAACTCGTCAAAAGGCTTGCAGTGATTACGTATGGCCTCCTGACCGTTTGCCGTATGTTAATGAGACCATGGCCAAATTCACCGGACTCCTGACCGCACTTCGCCGCGCCAAGCACACTTTCGTCATGATGCTCCTTCGATCGCTGCTGATGAATAGATGGAATGCGTTATCAGGTACTTACTTACACGTCATGGAGCCTGGGTGCCACACCCATCTCGCTCGTGCAGCGTATTGCAACTTCAGCGCGCGCGTGGTCTCGGTTCGCTGCACACATGACCACCGATGACGGAGCGTCACATGTCTCGGACGTCACACGTCCGAGGCATGTGACGCTGGTCCGCGAGTCCGCCATCTTCACACGCTCGGTCACGTGACGCGTTATAGGTACAGTCGTGCGGCCAGAGCCTCCAGCGCTTCTCCCGCTGTTTTCGTGGAAAGCGGGTTTTAGCGAATTTCGAAAGCTAACTGAAGCGGTCGCGCGATGTCCACTTCTCCTGATAAGTGGATTGCTATCTGTGTGTTTTATGGATATGTGTGTGCTTTAATCGGGACAATCTGCAATGTGTTCTTTTTTATTGGTCACGCCGGCACATGAAAAGCAAGCAAGCAAATGGAAAACTTCTCATAATAACAAACATAGCCTAGAAGGTTCCAGCCGGTGCAGCACGTGACTTAATATTGAATCAATGCGCTCATTATCACACAAGGTGAACATCGGTTGAGTAAGGGACCTTTCATTCATGGAATATGTAGCCATTGGCGGCCATCATACATTCACGTTTTCCTCATTAATTTGATGGTTATTGGTTCCAATTTCCGAGCCTGCATTATCTAGTTGCAGCTTTAATGTGGTCTAATTGTGAATAATTGTTCGCTAGGCACCTGGATCGGTTTTCTCTAAGGGTAGATTGTCAAGTGCGCCCGATAACATGGCGGCCACCATCCACCTTACTCAAATACAACTTATTTGTTTAAAAGAACGTTGTGCTTCAAATGCTATCAGGATGCCTACATAGCAATACAAAGAAGATGGGTACTACCTTTGACGCTTGTATTACAAAGCAATGTAAAAGGTAATGAAGGAATGTAAATATGCCTTGCCACGAAAAGCTACCCATATAGTAATATACTAATAGTATTGTATGCAATTATGGAGTTAAGCCATATAATAAAGTAATAAATCAACATAAATAATGTAATAAGATGTGATAGAGACGTACGGCATAGTTACCACAGCGTCTGTATTATATTCTAGTGTCCACGTCAAGAAACGGGCGCCGGCAAAGTTCCACCATCTTATGTGAACTTGTTTGTTAGTAAGACACATTTTGCTGCACGCCGCCTAGTTGGTCCCACCTGTGCGACGAACTAGGCTGCACATAGAATTGTAGAATGCGCATAGAATTGAACCATGCAGATAAAGCTAGAATATGAGAGAATGGAGCCCGCTACCTTGTTAACTGATATGAATTATACTTATGATGCGTTCGGATAATCTTCCGTCGAGACTTCAGGAGCCAGAAGTGCATTGATGGCTAATGCCCGTGCATGCGCCGAAATAAACAGATGACTTGAAAGTTGGCCGCATATGAATTTGATTTGCCTTGACATTTTTAATGACAAATTGGGGAGTTCGCAATGATTTTCAGTCAAGGCATCTGCAACCACAGTATTGCAAATGCAAATATATTTGGCGGATATTACCACCAACGAATGGGATTTTTTTTCTGACCAGCTTAGGAAGAGGTGGCATTAGGGGGGTTTCCGGTGGATTGTAAAAGCACATGTAGATTGGACAGTTTTCGAGCTCTGTTCATGTGTCCGGTGCATTTGCTTGCACCGCGCAGCTTGTTTCACGTTTTCAGCTGTTTTACTACTGAGATCTGGCATCAGTCACAACTGGCGGGTCCATGGTCCTAGCACGATAGCAGTCGTAGGTTTGCGTGCGTCATTTTTCTGTTGGTTAGTAAGTACAAGTGCTTATTCCCGCCCCCCCCCACCCCCCCCCCCCCCCCCCCCCCCCCCGGGTAGGAGTTGGCTTCATGTTGCCCGCAGGCGCCCTGCCGCCAAGACCTGGGAACCTGTTCCAGGTCCATTCTTATCTCGCTCGACCTATGAGTGGCTCCAGATTCCTGCGACTGGCTTCAGACTACTGACTTTGGACTGCTGCGACTGGCTCCAGATTGCTGTGACTGGCTTCAGACTACTGACTCCTGCGACTGGCTCTAGGCCTCTAAGATTCGCTCCAGACTCCTGCGGCTGGTTCTAGATTTCTACGATTGGCTCTACACTCCTGTGGCTGGCTCTAGACTTCTACGATTGGCTCCAGGCTCTTGCAATTGGCTACAGACTTCTGCAAATGGCTCTAGACTCGTACGACTGGGTTAAGACTCGCTCTGTCTGCGACTGGCTCGAGACGCCTGCGACTGGCTCCAGGCTCCTATGACTGGCTGAAGACTCGCTCGACCTGCTGGCGGGCTCGAATCAATGCCCCCGCCGTTTGAGGATGGCCGCGTCTTCCGAGTGCGCTTGTGTATGAACTATAAGATGCTATTTTCAAGGGGTTGTTTTCCCTTCTCACTCATTTTCCGCATAGGTATCCAAGTGCGCGAGAACGCGAAGGAGGGATAGGGTGCCAAGAGCAACAACTTTTTCAACTCTGTTGAAACTTTCCGTATGCTTCGCCTCCCCCTTTTCTAAGTAACAAACTGGCGGTTATAGCCCTAAGGCGTTCGGTGGAAAAACCGCATTTTACTCAATTTATATTCGCATTACATTTTACGTGCGGTGCATTTCGCTCCAATCCCCTGTGGAGGCCGTTTCGGCCAGCCAAAATTATGAGATTTATCAGACCGACTTCGCCACGTCTGACAAAACGCAAATTTGTGACTTGAACTTACTTCTTCTTCGGGAAGAAGCTTCGTAAGGTCAGCGGCGCACTCAAAAGGTTAAAAGAGGGATACAAAGCAAGCACTATCGAGCGTAAACAAACCATTTAAACCTTCTGCTTACCCTTTGCATTACGGCGTCGCGAGTCCAACTCAAATGCATGTATGCGAGACACGATGGGAGCAATGTCAGATGCAGGACCTTGGAAATAAGGAGAGAGGGGATGGGCTAAAACATCCTAAGCAGCCAAATGTTGCAGTGTTGCAAAAAGTGCCGGTTGACCATCTCCTCTATATTGTAAGATCTCTGGTCTCCCCTGCAGCACTGCAGATCAGTGGTA